TAGCTTGAAAATATTTTTCCTTGAGTTTTTTGAACTGCATGCTTGCAAGGGGAGTTGGAAGTACTATATTAGATGATTTCATGTAGTTTAAGCTCCCACTTTTTCTGGATGGAGGCAACAAATCAAAGATGTGGGAAATCTCCCAAATTGTACCCTGCGTGTTATAAGAGAGCCTCTACTTCAAGAGCTACTGAAGGAGTTACAGACTTCTTGTGAATTGCTTTTTTTTTTTCAACTTAGAATCATGGATTTAGATCTGGAAGAGACCTTACAGGTCATTCAGTTCAACCTATTCATTCCACAGATGAAGAAACTGAGACCCAGAGATGTGACTTGTTTAGGTCATACAGGTAATAAAACGCCAAAGACAGGACTTCAGAACCAAATTCAGTGCTCTCCACCATACCATTGTGGACTTCCACTATAGTCTTATGTGAATTTCAATGCCCTTTATAAACATGGATAAATGCAATAATTAATTCTTATAATATCTTTGGAGAAGATCCCTAGCTCTCTCCATACCCCAAGACTCTGGCCTGGGCCCTCTTTTCTTTTCTCCCTGTACTCTCTCACTTGGCAACCTGGTCAGGCCCATGGTTTAATTATGCTCTTTATGCAAATGACTCCCAGATCTATGTTTCCCTGCACTAGCCCTGGGCCAAAGGATGTTCCCTCCAGGATCAGATATCAAACACAATCCTGAACTCAAGCACTATCTTCAGCAGGTCTTTCCCAGTCCCTCTAGTTATCAGTGCCTTCCCTCCAAGGTCACCTTGTATCTTCTCCTCATATAATTTGCCTATACCTATACAGGAGCATGCAGGTCCCCCATTAGAATGCAAGATCCTCCTGGAGGGAAGGGGCTGTTTCATTTTTATCTTTGTATCATATAACACAGCGCCAGGCATGTGGTAGGCACTTAATAAATCCCTGTTGATTGGATCAGTGCATGTCCATACCCAACAACTATTTCTACTTGACTTAAATGTATTTTAAGATGTATGTTCCAAGCAGAACTAGATCAAGGAAAGAACCATCTACTTTACCATTGTCCAGGATTCCAGAGGCTTAAATGGCTCTTGCTTTGGCCCGTAATTTCTTCTTTCCAAGTAAGACTCCATTCCCAAAGACTCTGATTCTTTCAGCAGAACTGGAGGTTAAAGGTTTATGTTCAGAGTTGTTCCAGCTGTTGAGTCAGGCCATCTGAAGCCAGTGTCTTTTGTCAGTTATTGACAACAGACCTTGCGCTATTCTGCTGACTCAATTATTCCAGAAATCAGCACACTTATGTTAAAAATATGTGTTTAAAAATAAGAAAATTTTAACCAAAAAAAGATACAAAATTAACTTTTTTGTCATTTTAAAGGAAAACTTCATTTTAAAGAATGTTTTTGAGCACTAATAATTCAGTTTAAAATTGCTTAAGACTTTTAGGATCCCCTATAGAAAACAAAATAAAAGATAAGTACTAGACTGAAAATTATGTGACATGCGTGAGGGCTTTGTTGACATTTTAAAATAATCCCCTAAATACTTTTTCACTGGAGGTACAAAGTTGTTTGGAACAAAACTCAGGATCTCTTGTCCTCTTTTCACCTTTTTGTTCATAAGATGGTACAGCTGGCTCATTAATGCTTCTTTAGGGTTTCCGATTCCCTGAAAATAAAAAAGAAGTTGTAAAGAAAACAGGAATTCTTTCTCTGAGTCTGTAGAGCCAATTCTCAATCATTTCAGGAGCTGATTATTCCTTCTGTCAATTACCCATCTGTCCCTATTTCTATTCTTCCTCCCTCCTACTATTTTAAGCATCTTTATTGCAGTTTCAAACTGACACCAGAGGGTGGGAAAAGATAAGCGCTTGAAGCCAGAGTCTCTCTCTCCTCAGTGCCTAAAGTCACTTAAGAAAAACGTTAAAACTTTAAGAGACATCAAACTCCCTTTTAGTCTGTGAATTCTCATTTATTGTATTATTGCTGTCGTTCTTAAAAGCTTAGAGCTAGAGGAGATCTTGGGGAATCATCTTTCACTTTCCATATGAAGAAATGGAAGAAAATAGAAGTTAAAGGCCTTGTTAAAGGTTAGAGGACCAGACTGCTCAGACACACAGGCTAACAATCTCCCTACTCCTCTCTCAGAGCTGTCTACTTCTCCTAGTTGCCTTTCTCCTACACTGAACAGACCTCCCTTGGCCCCTAACCAGCTGCCAGGCCAAAGGATGTGGCTAAAAGACCTAAGGTATAGATGGCACAGTCAGTTTTTGTTATTCTGGCTAAGTTAGACTGAGAGCTGTAGGGTAGGGTAGGAGCACGGTACAGAGAGGAAAGCTTTTCCTTTGTCTCCCAGAATCCACAATGAAGGCAGCTCTGGGACTAAAACTGGAAAGTGCCTTCCAGGTCGTCTGGTCTAATTCTCTTGTTTCATAGAGAGGGAAGTAGGCTGACCAAGATTAAATGACTTCCCCCAAGCTCATAAAAGTAGCAAGCAGAGGGGCGATAATTCAAACTCACCTCCTCTGATTCCCTAGAACATCACAGGACTAATAAAGCAATGGAATGTAGAAGAAAGTGGAGTGCAAAGGTGTTCAAGTCTCACTTCTGACCATTACTAGCTAGATGACCTCAAGTAAATCACTCTCTGAGCCTCAGTTTCCACATATGTAAAATAGGGTTATATCATATCTATCCTTACAAGGTTATTGTGAAGATCAACAGACTCAGTAAACCATACCGGTTGGTTCAGAAGGGGACTAGCGCAAAATAGCTGGTTAACATCTGCTGGCACTTGGTACATTTTGCCCATCAGCTGGCATTTGGGAACATGGGTCAAAGCTGCTGAGGACAAGTAAAGATGGACAACCACAAAGCCTGCCTTAACTCACATGGGAGACAGTAGGAGTGGCTGTCTCCTTGCTCAAAAGCCCCACAAACATTCTTCACAGTTACAGTCATTTTGAAGACTAACCAGTAAGACAAAACCGTTCAACCTTATGGTAGTATTCTTTCCAAAATGCTGGTTTTTTAGCATATGTATGCCTCTAGACATCCCTAACTTAGGAAAATGTTTATCATATGCTTAAATCTCAGATCATGAAACTATAAACACTGATTGTTTTGATTCCAATGAAATCGAGATAAAAGAACTCATCAGTGAGACAGATATCAATTTAGGACCTTGACTCACTCATTACAAAGTGGCCCAGGTGGCATTAAAAAGATTTAGGGACTTTTCTGAAATATTGATAAAAGATATCCCAACACTTTGGTAAATCTGTGATTTGGGCCACGTGAGTGCCCCCTACACTGGTGTAGATCTGAATTCTTTCATGCCTTCTCATCACATGCAATTCTTGCCTGTGTTGTCCTTGTTAGGAATCTGACCGATATGCTGGGTGCCTTCCTCTGGTTCTGGCATTCTGTAGATACCAGTGCAACAAACACAGGTGCAATCCAAGTGACATTGCGTGGCTATGAGGCACGGTCCACTCAAGCCTTACTCAGGTTGAAGATCACACAACAGGCAATGTGACCACTTTGGGTGGACGTGAACAGTCAGTGACACATTGTCAACAATTAATTATGTAAGATAATCAGTGAAAAATATGTCATAAAAGAAATGTATGGTCAAAAAAGTTAGGCTGGTCTCATTATAAGACCAAGAGATAACCAATGGATGGCCCATGATGAGAGGGCTAACAAGGGTGGTAGCCATTTCTTAGAATACCTAAGTGGCAGGGTTTAAAGAAAGGTCTTTTCAACCGCATTGTCTGACCACCAGCGCTTCCAAAGAGGGGATAATGGGACATTTATAATGGTTAATCTGCAAGTGGTCACCTGGTGAAAACTGCAATGCCTGAGATGATGGAAGAAGACTCCTTTTCATATTCCTGGCCTAATAAACGACCTGGAGAGGTGATTTTAAAAATCTGATCCTTTAAACAGAATGGGACTGATCAATACAAAGAAAGGAGCCAAATCAAAGAAGTACTGATAGATTCTTGTTAGAGGATTGATTTCTGTTCCGTATGGAGGCTTCCTAGTACATAGATGGCAAGGCCACACTAAAGGAACGAAGGGGCAATCAGTAAACCACCTGACAATCTCAAGATCAAAGCGCTCACACAAGAGCTGGAGTCAAGGTCATATCGCCGAGATGCTACTCTTGAGCTGGGCTGCCAGCTTGGGGAACCCCCTGGCCCAGCAGGAGTTCTTGACCATTATCTAGGAAGAGGCAATAGGGCAAAGAGCAGGCCGGGGTGGAGGCTGGGAGGATGGGAGCATGGTGACAGACGAAGCAGGAGGATGGAGGATAAGAACGAAGTGAGAAGATGGAATTATAACAAAGCAATCGAGGCAAGGCAGTAAGGAGAAACCGCACGTCACTGAGAGCCAGGCAGGGCAGAAGAAAGCGCAGCTTTCCAAGGGACCCGGAGTCCCCCCTCCCTGGGCCCGGGAGGCTCGCAGGCAGCACAGGCTTTGGATGGCAGCTCCGAGCTGCTCTGCACAGGGCTCTGCCCCAGCCAGCGCGGCTTCCCCTCGCCTCGCCTCCTGAGGACGGACGGACAGACTGACGGATGGACTGACGGACGGAAAGTCCCCGTCTCCCTCCCTCTAGCACGCACAGCCTCGTCCAGCGCAGCGGCCGCTGTCCCCGTGGGCTGCGCAGCCCAGCCGCTGCGTGGAGGAGCGCGGCCCCCTTCCCCTGCCCACCTCCATCTCCGACCTCCCTCCGGCTCCAGCTCGCCCTCCTCCCCTCCGAGCGCTGCGATCTAGCCGGAGGAAGGGGAAGGAGCCAGGGGCACTGCAGAGCCAGGCCGGGCAGCCACCTGGCTACCAGCGGGCGGTAGGCCCCAGCCGGCCAGGTGCACCCACCGGGAGGCAGAGCACCCGGGGGAGGAGCCTGAGCAGCAGCAGCAGCAGAGGGGGAGGAGGAAGAGGAGGGGGAGGAGGGGGAGGAGGAGGAGGAGGAGGAAGAGAAGGAGGAGTGAGATGCAGCACGACCTCCAGCCTCTGCCGCTGCCGCTACGCCTTGGGGAAGAGAGTGCATCTATCCTGTCTGGGCTTCCACTCCTGGGGAAGGAGCGGGGCCACTAATTTCCTGGTTCATTTGGGGGAGGAGAAGAGGGAATTCCCATCCTACTCCTCTCCAACCGAGGGGACCCTCGGAGAGAAATCACCCAGGTGGAGTGCACCCCCCCCCCCATCACGGACATACAGGTTGCATTCGCCTGCATGATAAATACTGTACTACTTTGTGGGTAAAGCTCCGTTCTTCGGGATATCACTGAGAGTGCTTTGCAAACAAGTAAGTATTCTAGTAAATATTTTCTCTGTTATCCGGTAATGTGAGAATGGTCTTTATGCCATCTTGTGTTATGAAATCATTGGCCAGCCTCTGCACTGACTGCCCTAAATTATCTTTGAGTTCTGTATTCAGGCTAATCCAGGCTTCTTGCAAATTATGCCCTTAAAATAGAGCAGAAAAAAAGAAGTGTTTTCTGAAGGCTGCTCCTTATTATCTCTTCCGATTCCACGGGGAAATAGAAATTGGGGGCAGTTTTTACTCCCTTGGCTCTTTAGTTCCTGTTTGGAAAACTTCTAGGACATGGTTAAGAGGGATGCTAAAGAACTCTGAAGAATGAGGAAAATCTGCTACAGAATAATTCTTTAATATCCTTCTATGTGAAAAAAAATGAATAAATGGTTGAATTCAACTTTTAGGAACAAATCAACTTTGTGAGGTTTTTTCCCCACCCTTGCTTCTTTACATTTCATTCTATTGACCTTCATCTTCCTTCATTTTTTCTTCCTCCATTGGTCATGTGCATACTTCCCCCATCCCTCCATTTATGGTCTCAGACCATAACTGTGGAAAGAACACTGCACCTGGAGTCAGTCAGAGGCCCTGCATTCAAAGCCTACCCAAGTGACCAATTATCTATGTGATTTTAGGCGAGTCACTTAAATTCTCTTATCATCAGCATCTTCATCTTCCAAATGAGGGGGTTGGATTAGATGGTCTTTGAGGTCCCTTCCAACCCTAGGCCCTATAATATAAAGAGAAGTAACCAGCATAAGTGTTTTGCTGCTATGTGACCTCGTGGCTAGCAACTGTAGACTTAAAAGTCTAGTGAGGACCTGAATCAGAATCATCCCTCAGAGGCTTGCTGGTTTGTGTGACCCGAAGCAAGTCACCACTTTTTTTCAGACTCCCATTTTCTCATCTGTAAAATGGGGATAATAATACCACCCACCTCACAGGGTGGTTGTGAGCATTAAATGAAATAATATATTTTAAGTGTTTTCAAACCTTTATAAATGTTAGCTATTGTTATTATTTTGCAGAATCTTTAGCAATTTAAGATCTTCCAAATCAGACATTATTAGTATTTCTACATGTTTCTCCCACCTTTTAGCCAAGGGCAATATCTAATTCCTAAAAGGGAAGGAGGGAGAATTATAATCCAGCCATGATGAGTTTATGCAATATAAATGTTACAGGTGGGCTGGATGGAAGTTTATTTGCTCTTTACTTTTTATCTGTATAGATCACTGGTGTAGTGGGTGGAGAGCTAGCCTTAGAGTGATGAAGACTTGGGTTGCGCTAAGGAACTCTCAGGCTCTAAATGGAAGAGCTCATGCCATTCTCCATTGGTAGAAGCAGCTCCCCACGGTGACGATGTCCTAGGTCCAGCTTAAAAAAAGTCATTTCAACTCAGAAGTGAGGATTTAAACATGCTACAGACATACCCTCACTTCGGATGTCAATTTGTTCTTTGAAAACTCATGGTTAGGCAAAATAATATTACATGGGGCAGTTAGCACTGTAGGAACAATGTTATAAATCTTGGGAATGGTTGGATAATGGCACAGGAGGGTCTTATAGCATGGGAAATGCATTTGTGGCAAAAGATTGACTGGGTTGTCTTGTTTGTTAATGCTGAAAATCCTTTGGCTCAGATAAAATAAAAGTAAGAAATAGGAGAACTTGAGAGAAGCTGGAGAGATGGGGGGAGCAGGACAAAGAACATGGAAAAATAAGTTCTGCCACATTTCTGTGTGATCTGGGAGGTAACCTGGTGTAGTGGGAAGAGGCCTAGCCTGGGAGTCAGGAGTCCTGGGTTTAAGATCTGACTCAGCCATTAGTTGTGTACTCTTCAGTAACTGCTGAGGCCTTCACATGTTCATCTGTAAAATGAAAGTATTCTGCTGGATAATCTCCAAGATTATTTACAAATCTAAAATTCTCACATGCATAAAAGCTCTTCAACCACCCACCTCTTCAGGCTAGCCAATTCCCTGGCCACTCTACGGGGTTCAGAGAAGAGGCCTGTCTGCATTGGTTGAGGAATTTCCCGACCAGGCATTCCCTATACAGAAAAAACCACAAGGTCTGGTCCAAAAAGAGCCAATTATTTGCTGTCCTAGAAGCTCACATGCAAGGGAAAAATTATAGATCACCTTTTGAAGATGATGAAAACACTACAAACTGACAAGCTACCCTTAGAAAGTGAAAAAGAACCCCAAAACAGAATTCAGTTCAATTCGGCAAGCACTCACTAAGTTACAGCTATGTACAAGGCACCATGCTAGGCCCTCGGGATACAAAACCAAAACCAAAAAAATGATCCCTGGGTCCTGCTCTCACGGAGCTTACATTCTACTTGGGGAATATAACATTTAAACAGATGAGTAAATAAAGTATCATAAGGAAATAAAGTAGAACATATTAACAATGAGGGGCATCAGAAAAGACTTGAAATAGCAGCTATAATAGAGGTAAAAAGGAAGCAACGTTTGAGCTTGTAAAAGGCGCAGAGGTAGGAAATCACACAGGATCCCATATTCAGATCTGGCAGGGTGCTTAATGCATCTAGTACAACCCTTTCATTTGACAGGAAAGTGACTTGCCCAAGGTCACACAGGCAGAAAGAAGTAGAGATGGCATTTGAGCCCAGGTCTTCTTAACTATGTGTCCAGTTCTCCAGCCACTGTACCATACTGCCTCAGATGAAATGCTGAGTTAAGAGAAAGGTAAAAGCAAGCTCTCTGGCTGGAGGAGAGACTGGGAGAGGGAAGAGTATGGACTAAGTTTAGAAAGATAGGCTGAAGACAAACTGTCAGGAACTTTAAATGCCAAATGGAGGAGTCTGTATCTTATTCAATAAGGAATCACTAATGATTCTTGAGCAAGGGAGTGGCGTTGTCAGACCAACACTTTAGCAAGATTATTTTGCTAGCCCTGGAGAAGATGTATTTGGAGAGAGGAGAGACTGTAAGTCTAGAGTCTGGACAGGAGACTACCCCAGTTATCCATGTTAGAGGTAATGTGGATGGGGACTAAAGAAGGAACTATGTGAGTGTGAAGAAGCCATTGAAGGGAGAGATGTCTTAGAAGGTGAATTGACAAAACATGGCAACTGACTGGATATGGAATGAAAAGTTAAGGATGACAATGAGATTGCAAACTTAGTTTTCCTTGACGTAGAGGAATTTGGAGGAGGGAAAGCTTTGGAGGGAGAAGTAGAGAAGATGAGTTAATGTCAAACATGTTTTGTTTAAGACAGGTCCGAGACATCCATGTGGAGATATCCAGCAGACAGCTGGTGAAGTGGGCTGGAACTCAAGAGAGATTGGTGCTGGATATATTGAGGTAGGAGTTGTTTCCATAGAGGTGATAACTGAATGTGTAGAAACTGGTAAGATCACCAAGAGAAAGAATACAAAGAGAAAAAAGAGCCCAGGGGACTCCCATGCTTGGATGGTGAGACATGGATCATGAAGAGGAAGGAGAAAAGGAACAAGCATTTATTAAGCACCTGCTGTGTACCAGGAGAGGCAGCTAGATGACTTAGTGGATAGAGTGCTGAGTTTGGAGGAAGACCTGAGTTCAAATCCTGCCTCAGACACTAGCTGTGTGATCTTGGGCAAGCCATTTAACCTCTGTTTGCCTTAATCCACTGGAGAAGATAAGGGCAAACTATTCCAGTATCTTTGCCAAGAAAACCCCATAGACAGTATGGTCCATGGGGTCATGAAGAGTCAGATACGACTGAATAACAACAGTGTGCCAAGTACTCTGCTAAGTGCTTTACAAATATTCTCATTTGATTCTGATGACAACCCTGGGAGTGAGAAAGGGAAGAAACTAAGGGAAACAGAGGTCTGTCCAACGGTCAGACAGCTAGTAAGTCTCTTGAGGTTGGATTTGAACTCAAGTCTTCCTGACTCCAGACCCAGCGCTCCATCCACTGCCCTGCCTAGCTACCCAGTAAAGGAGACTAGGGAGTAATCAGACTGGAAGAGAACCAAAAAGTAAGTGTCTTGAAAGTGGAGGAAAGAAGAAGTGTCTGAGACAAGACAGTGATCGGTTGAGCCGAAAGGCTCTTTGGTTTAGCACTTAAGAGATCACTAGTAACCTTGGCTGAAGTAGTTTCAGTTGGATGGTAAGGAGTGAAGCCAGATCACTAGGGGTTGAGAAATGAGTGGAAAGTGTGAAAGTAGAGGCAATAAGAGTAGCTATTTTTTCCTGGGTGTTTAGCCGTAAAAGGAAAAAAAATATAGTCCAATAAATTGAGAGATTGGGAGGATGCAATGAGGGGGGTGTACAAATGGGGGAAACCCAAACATGGACAGGAGCCAGCAGATATGGAACTGTTCATGAAACCATAGACCTTTATGGGGCAATCATTTCCACTTAACAAGCATACATTCAGCTTTTGCTATGAATAAGGCATTATGCTAGGCACTAGGGAAGCAAAACTGAAAACAGCAGTTCCTGTCCTCAAGGAACTTACATTCTTCTGGAGCAGGGAGATAACAGATGTCTATAGATAATTAAATTCAAAATAAATGACATAGAGTTGAAACTTAATTGAATTATTTAATCTTCTTAGTTCATTCTTAGTTACCTAGATAGATAATGAGTCAAACATCAATTTTAGAAAACCTACAAGATACCGGAGTGGCCATCAGATCATGTGACATCAACCGAGTATTTTGTTTTTAGAGAGAGCCCATCTCTATAGATCAGTGGTCACATCTAACATATGGTATGGGACTTGAGATTTACCGTAGATGAGACATGGAGGTAATAACCATCAGCATTACCTAGGAATTATATTTTTAGCATTCCCTAGAGCATTGAGGTTATGTTTCATACAAGCCAACTCTGCATAAGCTGACACTTGCTCGTGGTTAATTGGAGACCAAAGGCATTGATCAAAGAAATTCCAAAAGGACCCCTTTGAATGCTGACCTTCGTAAAATAGCAAAAGAAGATAAAATTGTCTATACATGAGTGGAGGTGGAATGTCACCTACTAAGTAATGTCCTAGGTAGCGGAGAGAGGTCACAAAATGTAAGTTCTGAAGTCTGACTGTAGTTTCTGAAAACACTGATGTTAGTACACCATCTCTGTGTCCAAGAGTATTCAGTAATACCACCTCGGAATGTAAAGCACCAAAGTCTAGACAGAGGCAGGAGTGAGGTGTTGAGACAAAGGCTCATTCTAAAGCTCATTCCAGGCTTAATCTGGCTCACTTAGTGGATGCTTGTAAAACACGATAGGTGCTGAGATCTAAGTAGGCTGTGCAGTGTAAAAAGTATTGGAATTGCAGTCAGTACCTGAATATGAATCCTGCCTTCATTGTTTATATGTGTCTCCTGGGCAAGTCACTTACCCCCTCCAAGCTTCATTTACTCATCCATGAAATGGAAGCAATAATACTTGAAATACTTACCTCACAGCAACCCTGTGAGGATCAAATAGGGCGCTGTGTGTTAACCAATAAGTGCTATATAAATAAGGGGGAGAGACTGGACCTCTGGTTTAATTGGTATTGGGAACTCCCATATAGGGAAACACCCTTTACCAGTGCAGTTGGCGTTTTCTCTGCAACCTATAGACTCAGAGAGTCTCCCAGACACTGAGCAGGTAACAGGCTAGATGGCCTATGAGAAGGCAGGCTTCTGCCACAGAGGAAAAACTCACGCTTCCCTTGCTGCCGATGCCATTTTCTCCTCCTCAGAGAAATTGTCTGCAGCCCTTCTGTCTATGTGGGGATCCAGCACCCATTGCTCTATCTCAGACCCTATTGAATAGGAGAGGGAATGATCCTGTGCTTCTTCCCCCTTCATAAGGGGCAAAAAGCAATTCTGGGTAATCTTGCATATACATGAAAGGAGAATGACTTGTTTTGGTTTTGATTTTTTTAATCTGTTGAAAGTACAATAAAGCTTTTAACTGGAGCCCTTGGGGAACAGTGTTAACTTTTCTGGTTAAGTCTAGCTTAGCCAGAGAGCTTTCTGTGTAACTCCCCTTCATGTCAAGAGTCTCTTTAAAATATACATATGCACCCTGCATAAAGTGTCAGGTGCCAGAGCATTAGACTTGCAGTCAGAAAGAGCTGAGTTAGAATCCTGATTCAGACAGTAGCTGGGGGGAGTTTGCTTGAGTCACTTAACTTCAGTCTCAATTTCTGCAACTGGAAGGTAGAGAAAATAATGGTACCTCCCTTTACTGGGTTGTTGTGAGGATCCAAGGAATTATTACACATAAAGCACTTTGAAAACCTTAAAGTACTATATAAATGTTAACCATGATCATTATTATTAGAGCATTATCCCAACTAATGTCATAATAATAATGCAGATCTATATAAAACTTCCTCCACAATAACCCTGTGAGATGGATGGTGTAAGGATTATCATCCCCATTTTGCAGATGAGAAAACAGAATATTGTAAAGGTAGTATGACTTGCATGAAGCTTATAAAACTGGTAAGCATAAGAAGCATGATTTAAACCCAGGTCTCCAGTAAAACCCAAGTCCAGCTTGCTTTCCATTAGATCTTGCAATGTCTTTCCCCTTGTCATAACATAACCACGTTCTATCCTAACGTGCTCCTCTCCTCGTCCCATCCCAGCCCCGTCAGACAAGGTTAGGATCATGGATTGAAAGGTTTAGAGCTGGACCTCATTTTACAGGTGAGAAATCTGAGATACTCACCAGTGTGAGAGGTGCCAGTCACCACCTAGGCTCAACTTGGGAACCTACTTTCTGCTTCTCCATGCCCCTCACCTGCCATACGCTGCCAGATGTAGCCTCCATCTAAGATAGATTAAGCCCTGCCAGCTTCCCTCACCCGTCCCTAGTAGCTCAGCCAGTACAGAAAGGATGGTTACTAATTTTATCTCTATTTTGTTTCCTACTTAGCTGTCCCTGCCACCTTAGAACTGTCTCCACCTGGCATCTGATACCCTTATTTCCTCCCAAGTTTAATCTCCACTGGAGAAGGTAGCTCTTATTTTCTTTGTCCCTAATTCTCCCACCCCCATTCTCATCTCCAAAGTGCTCAGTTCTCGTGAAACCTACTGGCCCATATAACATTGTTTCACCTAATATCATGCTTTTGTAGCATCAACTAATGACATTAGACAAGCTATACCAGTATTGGAATGCTTTCACACTTTAAATGTGACATATTAAACATGGTATAATGGGAAGAACACTAGATTTAGAATCAAAAGATTTCAGATCCCAGCTTTGCTATTTATTATCTCTGTAACTTTTGACAAGTCAGTTAACCTTGGGGGTAAGGGGAAGTTTCCGTAAACAAATTATAGGAAATTGGTCTGAATGTATGTATACCAATCCCAGGAAATACACTAAAAGCGGCTTCTCTTGGACAGCTCTAATATTGTTTTCTGGTCATTTGACTTTTTTCTCCTAAAAGATGATTGCTTTAAAAAAAAAAAAAGAATATTTGATAATTGAGCACTCTAGTCGGGTTCAGTTAAGTGGAGTATAACTATAGTATAATTTTATTCTTCCCTTGAGATTATGTATAGAACGAACCAAAGTAATTTTTAAAAGGAGCTAAGGTATATGTATACGAACCATTAAGAAATTTTCATAGAACCATAGATTTATAACTAGAAGGGATCTTAGAGGTCCTCTAGTCCTATCTAGTGCAACCCTTTCGTTTTTCGCCAATGAAAAATTCTTATAATAGTTTGCAATTATAAAAAGTTTAGAAATTGATATTGTTATGATAATGTATTTTCATGTTATTCTTATAATTTATAAATGCTTCACTAGTTCAAATTATTAATGATTTTGTCTGTGTGGCTTGGTATCCGTGTCTCTGATGCAAATCACAACCCTTTTCTGAACCTCACTAGGCCGGGCCTTACGTGACAAACATACTGCTAATAGTCACTGAACCTTCACTGAAATGGAATGCTCCTCTTCATCTCCACCTCTTGGCCTTCCTGGCTTCCTTCATGCTCCAGCTAAAATCCTGCCTTCTGCAGGCTGCCTTTCCTGATCCCCCTTAATTCTAGTGCCTTCCTTTGATTAATTACCTCTAACTTATCCTGCATATAGTTTGTACATATTTGTTTTCATGTTGTCTCCCCCATTAGACTGTGAGATCCCTGGGGGCAGGGACTGTTTTTTGCATTTTTTTTTTTTTTTGGTATCTCTATTGCTTAACCTAGCACCCAGCCCTCGGTAAGTGTTTAATAAATGCTTATTGACCAACTCGAAAGAAACCTTTCCACGTGGTGTAGGGCCCACCAAAGTTTGTGCTGCAGTCACAGAGAGGTTGTGGGAAGACGTCAGAGTAGGACTTGAGTAGAGGAATTTTAAAACTTAAATTTAAGGGAAAATACTTAAAGTGAGGATATGTTGTAAATTACCAAAAAGTGTTGGCAGAGTCAGAGCATTTCGGGGTAGCTAGGTGGCGCAGCGGATAGAGCCCTGGCCCTGAGTTCAAATTCGACCTCAGACACATAACACTCACTACCTGTGTAACTCTGCGCAAGTCACTTAACCCCAAATGCCTCACCAAAAAAACAAAAGCAGAGTCAGAGCATTTCATAATACAACTTTCATAGACTTGAAACTGTAAATAAAAAGCCAAGTAATAGAATCTTGCTTCAGCACATCACATTTCTTATTTCCCAAAATGAAATTCACTGTTGTTCTTGTTTTATGGAAAGTGTCTGTCTTGTTAACAGATTTATTCTCACAGGTCCATAAATCCTTTACTAAGACATTAAGTTAATTTTAAATTAGTTTAATGTCACAGGTGTAAAAACTCACTTCATGTAATGGGTGTAAAAAGGCATTCAGCTCCAGCATAGCCCCAAAATTACAGTGCCCCAAATCACCATCTACCCATAGGGAACTGTATCAGAAAACGATTCTGTCAGTTTGGGATGCATCAACCTTCACTAGAAAATCCCAGAGTACATACCCCCTCAATCTTCCCTAATTACCTGAGGGAAAGCATTCAGAACCCTTGAGTCAAAAGGTGATTCTTTCCTCTTAATTAGAGGCTTTCATTAGAGCAAGTGTAGGAAAACATTGCCGCACACTGAAAGCTTTTTCCAAGGTCTAAGGCATATTTAGCTGAGGCTAACAATAGCTAAAACTCACCGTCCTGGGTTGGATCTTGAAATAAGATTTTAATGGATAGTGAGTGGTATGACTGAGAGCCCACCCCAAGCTTGGGAAATGACATGTAGAAATGCCCAAAGGCAGGAGTGGCAGGACAATACATATTGCTGTGGCGCAATTAAATTTATAAAGTGCTCTCGTCATGAGAATTGTGAAGGAAGAAGTGTGATATGATTATCCTCATGTTACTAATGGTCTTGGGAGATTGGATGGCTTGCCCATGAGCACACAGCTGTGAGACCAGATTTGAAGCCAGGTCTCCTAACTAGAAGTCAAACGTTCTCAGTTACCTCCATGCGGCCTTATGCATCGTCAGGAGAAAACAAGATCAGGGGATGGTGAGTAATCCAGTTTAGCTAAAACAAAGAAGGGAATAGTATGAAATAAGACTGAAAAGGTGGGTCAGAACAAGATTTTAGAGGGCCGTAAGTGCCAAATGAAGGACTTTTATATTTTATATTGTAGCCACTGAGGATTTTTGATGAGGGGAAGTCACCTATAATAAAACATACACTACAGTGGTTATAATGGCAGTGGGTGAAGGAGAGATTGCAGAGGGGAAAATGCAGAGTAAGGGAGCTCAGTTAGGAGGCTGTTAAAAAAGGTCTAGGTGAGAGGTAATAAAGACCTGAGCTAGAAGGGCAGGAAGTGAGCAGAGAAAGGAGGGGATTGGCAGCAAGCTGTATTCTGGAAGTCAGTTACTAGGATTTGGCAACTGGTTTATTGGTAATAAGTAACAGGGAAAGATGAAAGATGACTCAGGTTTCAGGTTTACCTGACTGGAAGCGTGGTGTAATGCCATCAACTGGAAACACCGTAGAAGACAATTAGGAGGAGGGCTGCTTTCCAGGGGAAAGGCAGTGATTTTGAAAGGTCAGCAGATAAAGATGGAGCACCAGGGCGAAGGGGAGAGGTCCGAGCTGGAGGCAGAAAGGAGGAAGAGGAGCCACTGAAGGTGACAGAGAAGAAGTGAAAAGGTAGGAGGAAAACCAGGAGACCAGTATCTCGAGGCAGGCCCAGGAGAAAGCAGGTGTCTAGGAGGCCAGGAAGGATCACACACTGCACATGACTGAGTCTCCGTTATCTTGTCAAAGACAAGGTCCCCATTAGATGTGTTTGGAAAAGTCAAGGAAGTAGATGCCTATAATGCATTTCTCTGCCCCTTCACTTCAAACCCCAATCCCAGACAAAACCAAGAATAACTGGATAGCATATACAGGATTTTTAGAAATGTGAAAAGTTTTTAAAGGCTCTATCAGATATCTCTAGACAGTTGTTGGAGGTAAACATGGTAATTAATTGTGCTTTCCTCTTGTAGTATTACTAAATTTAGTACATGTTGGTTTTAAAATTGAAAATTAATTTACTTATGTTGTAGCTGTAGTTTCTAAGCTAATCTTTTTTTTTTTGGATTGAACTAAAATTCCCTGAGTCAAGATTGAAATTTTAGACACAAGAGGTTAATATTATTTTTTAAGACACGGTAATGACTAACATTTAGAGATGAATTAAATTAAGGTTGCCTTCAATCAATCAATAAGTAAACATTTATTAAAAGCCTGCTATGTGCCAGGCACTGTGCTATGCTTTGGGAATACAAAAAGAAACAAAAGACAGTCCCTGCCCTCAAGAAGCTTACATTCTAATGGGGTAAACAACATACAAGAAAATTAGTTACAAAGCAAGATGTATAATTATGATAAATAGGAAAAAGTTAACAGAGGGAAAGCACTGAAATTAAGAGGGGTTCGGGAAGGCTTCCTGTAGAAGGTGGGATTTTAGTTGGGACTTAAAGGAAGCCCCGGAGGTCGGTAGTGGGAGAGGAGGACAGTTAAGTTCTGCACAAATACTCTGTCTCCCAGATATACAGTGGTTCGCCCCTCCTTGCATGGATAGAGTTACCTTTTTGATAACTTTAACAAAGAAAGGAATTTACTTTCTGTCATTAGTCACAACCACATGGTTATTAACATGATTAAAAGATTCAATTAGAATTTGCTATAAGAAACAATGTAAACAAAACCCAAACAAGTTAAACCATAGTCACTTATTAATACTTATGCATATTATAGTATAATATATACTACAATATGCTAGTGGATGACTATTAGTTGGTCCTAATATAATTTAGCCTGCTTATATAATAATTGCTTACATTTATACATATAACACTTTAAGGTTTGCAAAGTGCTTTATATATTTTTTATTATTTGATCTTTATAAAAACCCTATGAGGACTCAAAAGCTTATGGAAGTGAATGTTGAAAACTAAAAATAAATAAATAAATTTTAAAAAATAATAACCTTGTGAGGAAGGGGCTATTGTTAGCCCCATTTTATAGATGAGGGAATTGAAGCGGAAAGAAGTAAGGTAACTTGCCCAGGGACACATCGCTAAATAAATATGTGTGGTGAAATTTGAACTTGTGTCTTTCTGATTCACACCTACTTCCCATAATTATATTATGATTTACAGAAGGCATTTGAACTTGCTTTGTGAAATATTCAGACTCTTCTCACGACTATTATATAACACAGAAAAGCATTTTTCTGAGACAGCTGGGCAGTACAGTGGATAGAGCGCTGAGCTTGGAGTTAAGAAGACCTGAGTTAAAATTTGGCCTCAAACACTCACTAACTGTGTAACTCTGGGCAAGTCACTTAGCCTCTGTTTGCCTCAGTTTCCTCAAATGTAAAATGGTGATAATAATGGCACCTACCTCCTAGGGTTGTTATGGGAATCAAATGCAATATTTGTAAAGCACAGTGCCTGGAACATAGTAGGTGCTATATAAATGCTAGCTGTTATTATCATCGTCATCAGGACTGGG